TCAATGTATTCCCTTTTCATTTTATTGAAGGTTTCCTTTTCTGTGCAAAACTTTTTTTGTTTGATGTACTCCAATTTATTTATTTATTTTTCTTTTGTTTCCCTTGCCTGAGGTAATATATCAGAAAAAATATTGCTATGGAAAATAGCTGAATTTTACTGTCTATATTGTCTTCTAGAATTTTTATTGTTTCACAATTTACACTAAGTCTTTAATCCATTTTGAGTTTAATATAGTGTATGGTGTAAGAAAGGAGTCTAATTTCATATTTTTTTGCAAATATCTATCCAATTTTCCCAGCACCATTTATTGAATAGACTGTCTATTAAGTTTTTGCCTCTTTTATCAAATATTGAATATAGAGGCATTGGTTTATATTGGGGTTCTATTCTGTTCTATTCATCTATGTTTATTTTTATGCCACTGAAATGCTGTTTTGATTACTATGGTCTTCTCATATAGTTTGATATCAGGTAGTGTGATTTCCCCCAATATTGTTCTTTTTTCTCAAGATTGCTGTGACTATTTGGGGTCTTTTGTGGTTCCATATATATTTTTGTTTTTTATTTATTTATTTTTAAATATATTTTATTGATTTTTTGCATAGAGGAAGAGAGAGAGATAGAGAGCTAGAAACGTCGATGAGAGAGAAATATCGACCAGCTGCCTCCTGCACACCCCCCACCGGGGATGTGCCCGAAACAATGTATATGCCCTGACCGGAATCGAACCCGGGACCTTTCAGTCCGCAGACCGACGCTCTACCACAGAGCCTAACCGGCTTCGGCCCATATATATAATATTTTTGAATATTTGTTCTAGTTCTGTGAAATATGCTATTGGCATCTTGGTAAGAATTGCATTGAATCTATAGATTGTTTTTGGTAGTATGGGCATTTTAATGATGTTTGTCCTTCTTACCCATAAACCCGGTATATACTTTCATTTATTTGTATCTTCTTCAACTTCTTTCTTCAGTGTCTTATAATTTTCTAAGTACTAGTACAGGTCTTTTATCTCCTTGTTTAAATTTATTCCTAGGTATTTTATTTTTTAATAGACTGTAAATGGGATTATTTTCTTAGTTTTCCTATCTGATAGTTCATTGTTGGTGTATAAAAATGCAATTGATTTCTGGAGATCTGTCTTGTATCCTGCTTCTTTACTGAATTCATTAACCAGTTCTAGTAGGGTTTTTTTTTTTTTGTTTGGTTTGTTTTGTGTGTGTGTGTGTGTGTGTGTGTGTGTGTGTAAAACTTTTTGTTCTCTATATAGAGTATCATGTCATCTGCAAATAATGATAGTTATTCTTTTTCCTTTCCAATTTAGATGCCTTTTATTTCTTCTTCACATCTGATTGCTATGGCTAGGACATCCAAAACTATGTTGAATAAGAGTGGTGAAAGCAGACATCCTGTCTTGTTCCTGACCTTAAGAGAAATGCTTGTAGGTTTTGCCCATTAAGTATGATGTTGTTTGTGGGTTTGTCATATATGGTCATTATTACATTGAGGTATGTTCCCTCTATGCCCATTTTGATGAGAGTTTTTTTCATAAATGGGTACTGGATTTTATCAAGAGTTTTTTCTACATATATTGATATGATCATGTGTTTTTTATCCTCAGTTTGTTTATTTGGTGTATAACATTTTATTGATTTGTGTATACTGTACCAAACTTTATCCTCCAGAATAAAGCCCACTTGATCACAGTATCTTTTTAATGTATTGCTGGATCTGGTTTGCTAATATTATTCTGAGGATTTTAGCATGAATGGTCATGACAAATATTCGCCTATAATTTCCTTTCTTTGTAGTGTCTTTATCTGGTTTTGAAATTGGGATATTGCTGGCCTCATAAAATGAGCTTGGAAGTCTTCCATCCTCATGAAATTTTTAGAATTGTTTGAGAAGGCGAGGTGCTATTTCTTTGAGTGTTTAGTAAAATCCATCTGTTAAGCCATCCAGTCCAAGACTTTTGTTTTTGGGAGTTTTTATTATTATTACTATTACTATTATTCTTGCTGCTTCAATTTCACTGGTTGGTACCTGTCTAATTAGATTCTCTGATTTTTCCTAATTCAGTTTTGGAAGATTGTATATTTCTAGGAATTTATGCATTTCTTCCAGATTGCCCAATTTGTTGCCATATAGTTATTTGTACTATTGTATTTTCTTATAATCCTTTGTTTTTCTGTGGTGTCAGATGTTGCTTCTCCTCTTTCATTTTTGATTCTATGTTTTTGAGTCCTCTCTCTTTTTTTCTTTGATGAATATGTTTAAAGGTTTGTCAATCTTGTTTATCTTTCTAAAGAACTAGTTCTTAACCTGTTAACTGGGGAGTTCCCTTTTTAATTATGCAACCTGTAATGGGCGCGTACTCTTTCACTAGGACGTGTCAGTACGTCACGTCCAGAGGACGTAATTTCATATTATTATTATTATTATTTTTATTTATACTTAATTAAAATAAATGAAATATATATTTTTTCATTTATTTATATATAAAGCACAAAGCAAAATACAAAATTACAAACAAATAGAAAAGAATACCAACAAAAAAATGGAAACATCGAATTAAAAAATTATAAATTTTACAAACAATTATAAAGATTACAAAAAATATATACCGTCCCTCACAGGGCGCAACGTATATTTCAAGGACGTATACATACGTCCTACCCGTTCCCGATATTGTTTACGTTTGACGTATTTATAGGTCCCTCTCGGTTAAAAGGTTAATATCATTGAGTTACTGTTTTGTTAGTTTCTATTACATTTATGTCTGTTCTGATCTCTATTACTTCCTTTCTTCTACTCACATGCAGCTTTGTTTATTGTTTGTTTTTAAACTTATTTAAGTGTAAAGTTAGTTTATTTGAGATTTTTTTGTTTCTTGAGATAGGCCTGTAATGCTTTGAATTTTCTTCTTAGGACTGCTTTCACAGTGTCCCATATATTTTGGTTTGTTGTGTTTTTATTTTCATTTGTTTCAGATTATATATTATTTATCTTTCTTGATCTCATTGTTAACACATTCTTTGTTTAGTAATATGCTATTTAGCCTCCATGTGTTTGTATGTTTTTTGGGTTCTTTCTTCTTTTGATTGATTTCTATTTTCATGTCATTATGGCCAGAAAAGATTCTTGATAGGATTTCAATCTTCTTAAATTTAGGGGTTTTGAGCCCTGACATATGGCTTATTCTAGAAAATGTTCCATGTACACTTGAAAATAATTTATATTCTGTTGCTTTTGGGGTGAAATTCTCTGAAGATATCAATTAAATCAATTTGATCTAGTGTGTCATTTAAGGGCACAGTTTTCTTGTTGATTTTCTGTCTTTAAGATATATTCATTGATGTCAATGGGGTGTTAAAATCCCCTACTATAATTGTGTTACTATCCATCTCTCCCTTTATGTCCATCAGTATTTGCTTTACATAATTAATTGCTTTTATGTTTGGTGCATAAATGTTTACAAGGTTTATATCCTCTTGTAAGATTGTTCCCTTTATCATTATGCACTGTCCTTCTTTGTCTTTTACTATAGCCTTTATTTTAAAGACTAATTTTTCAGATGTAGGTAATGCTACCTCAGCTTTTTTCATTTCCATTTACATCAAATATCTTTTTCCATCCTTTTACTTTTAGTCTGTGTGTATCTTTTGTTTTGAATTGGGTCTCTTGTAGACAGCATATATATGGGTCTTGTTGTGTGTTTTGTTGTTGTTGTTGTTGTTGTTTTGTGTGTTTTTTTTTAATCAATTCAGCTAGGTACCTTTTTACTTTTAACTGAAACATTTAATCCATTGGCATTTAAAGTGATTATTGATAGGTATGTATTTATTCTTTTAACTATATTTTGTTGTCGATTTTTTTCTTCTTCTCCTTCTTAAAGCAGGCCCTTTAACATACCTAGTAATACTTGTTTGGTGGTAACAAACTCCTTTAGCTTTTTCTTGTCTAGGGAGTCCTTTATGTCTCCTCAATTTTAAATTCTTACTTTGCTGATTAAAGTAGTTGTGGTTGTAGGCCATTGCTTTTCATCACTTTGAATTATTTCATGGCAATTTCCTGTGGCCTGAAATGTTTCTTTTGATAAATTAGCTGAGAATCTTATGGGAACACCCTTGTAGGTAACTCTCTTTCTCTTACTGTTTTTAAGATTTTCTCTGTCTTTAACCGTTATCATTTTAATTATGATGTTTCTTGGTATGAGCCTCTTTGGGTTCATCTTGTTTGAGACTCTGTGCACTTCCTCAACTACTGTGTATTTTTCCTTCACTAGGTTAGAGAAGCTTTTGGTCATTATTTCTTCAAGGTGGGTCTCAATCTCTTGCTCTTTCTCTTTTCATTTTGGTGCGCTTGTGATGTGAATGTTGTTATGCTTCATGTTGTCCCAAAGGTGCCTTAAACTATCCTCATTTTTAAAAAATATTTTTTATTGATTTCAAAGAGAGGAAGGGAGAAGTAGAGAGAGATAGAAACATCAATGCGGAGAGAGAATCATTGGTCAGCTTCCCCTTGCATGCCCCCTACTGGGGTTCAAGTCTGCAACCGAGGCATATACACCTACCCTGAACTAAACTGTGACCTCCCGGCCCATAAGTTGACACTCAACCACTGAGCCACCCAACTGGGCTATCTTCATTGTTTAAATTCTTTTTTCTTTTTGCTGCTCTGTTTGGGTGTTCTTTTCTACCTTGTCTTCCAAATTATTCAATTTTTTACTTTTTCTAATCTGTTTATTCCTTTCAATATATTCTTCAGTTCAGATATTGTATTCTTCAGTTCTAACTAGTAAATTTTCATGGTTTCTATGTCCTTTTTCATGCTATTGAGCATCCTTATAACCATTATTTTAAATTCTAGATCTAATAAATTATTTGCCTCCATTTAATTTAGCTCTTTATCAGGATATTTCTTTAATTGGGGGCCTGTTTATATATATATATATATATATATATATATATATATATATATATATATATATTGCTTCAAAAAGCTTTATTGTTTCATTTGGTCCAATGCATGGTAGAGGGCTCCAGGGTAGTTAAAAAAATGGCTAGTGATTTTGGGAAGAAGCTCAGGTAAAAGCCAGAGACACCAGGGGGATTCAGAGGGACCTCTGAAAGGACTCTGGGCTCCAAAAGCTCCTAGTCGTGCTGAGGGTGAGCCTGTCAAAAAGATATTTGCCCAGTCCAGCCTGGGGGTGGCCAACCTGTAGATGTTAGTCAGGTGGTTGCCCACCTTCTTGATCAGTTTCACCTCCTCATCCAGAAAGTGGTTTTCCAGGGAATCGCAGAGGTGAGGGTCTGCACAAGCAGAAGCCAGGGGATGCAACTCCAAAAGGGCCTGGTTCAGGTTCTTCTCCAAGGCCAGGGTGGATTCTATGGTGTGCTGAGTTTTGCTCCAGTCAACCTGGGAAGGTTTCTGCATATCCTGGAATAGAATGCAACCACCATGCTTGTTTTGCAACTTTAAGAGATGCTCAGCACCATCACGCTTCTTCTCCACCAACTCACAGGAGAAGTGGCCCAAACCCCCCAGAGCCACATCATCATGGTTGAAATAGTAGCCCAGAGAGAGGTAGGTGCAGGAGGCCTGCAGATGCAGGTTGGCCAGGTGATTGACGGCAGCCTCCACTTTGGTGGGATATTTCTGACGAATTTGGGACCCCATGGTTGTTGGGCAATAAGGAGTTAAGGTAGAAAAAAATGATGTGTTGGCTGGTCCCAGAGTTGGTTCTGAAGGTGATGACTGGATGAGACGCAGGAGAGTGGCTAGAGGCTGGAAGAAGGGGCGTCCCCAGGTCTGTTCCATCCAAACACTGTTGAAGCAAGAGATAGATCCAGAACCTCCACGTGTGCCCCAGTCTCCACATTTTAGCTGCCTCTTTGTGATTGTTTCTATGTATTACATAGATCTACTATAACTCCCAGCTTCATGGTGTGGCTTTATGTAGTAACTATTCTGTGGGTCCAGTAGTACAGTCTCTTTGATCACCTGAGCTGGGTGCTCCAGGAATGTCCTTGTATTAGTTATGTGATCCCTCCTGTTGTAATTGAGTCTTGATTGCTATTGGCCTGTATGTGTGTGGTATTGACCTTCATGCTGTCAGACTTTGGCTCATGGCCTGCAAGCTGCTTTGCAGGTGCTAACCACACAAAGCAGAATTTGCCTCAGCAGGGTCTGGTGCCTGTCAAGATCTCCCTTTGGATATGCCACTCAAGGAGCTAATTGGATCCTGCTCTGATGTTATCTGAAGCTGGCCACTTGATATGTTGGTTATGGGCCTCTTGGAAAAGACTCTGATGCAGGTCAATATCAGATGCTGCCTGTGACTAGCCCTTGGTAACTTGTTTGGAGCTACAAGCAACCCACAGACTATGGCTGCCTCTGCTGGGCCTAGGTACACACAGGAAGGACTGAGCTGCACACCAAGGCTGGCTTGTACTAGTAACAAGCTTGGAGTCAAGTCAACAAATGTCGTAAGGTATCCCAAGATCTGCCTCCACCTGCCTGTTAGGCTCATTCCCAGAAAGTAACTCTAGTGGTACTTGAGTTGCATGAGATAGGTTCACAGCGAGTCACTAGGTAGGGGCAAGTGGTGTTCACCAGTTTAATACAGGTTCAAACTTGATTGCAGTGCCACCAGCTGGATGCTTGCATACATTTATGTTAGGACAGTCTCAGAGAGTTAAGGTGAGACTAGCAGAGTATATCAAGCCCAAACAGACCAATATTTGGCCCTATATTTATAGGGCTCTGCTCCAGTTAAATGTGCAAGGAGAAAATGGTCCCTGTCCTAGAGGAACAAAACTCAGTCTGTCCCATATTCTGCCAAAAGGAGCCTGATCTTAGCAGGGTAGGGTTGCCAGGTATGAGAAAGATGAGGCTAGTGGATCTCATGTGAGGACAGATGCTGCTCAGGCTTTGGGGAAGTTGGGTGTTTGTGGCCTCTCCTCCAGAGCCTCAGAGCTCAATTTGTTCCGAATTTTGTTCCAACCTCAGCAGGGCGAAGCCACTAGGAGTCTGAAGGGTGGGGTATTTGAGGCTCACAGGTGGGTTTTCCTAAAGCCTGGAGAGTGATTCTAATTGGTCTCCCTGAAGGGGGAATTTTCAGTCAGATTTATGGGAAATTGGGGAAATGGCCCCATCCCAAAGGCACAAAACTCAGTAACTGACACCTCCTTAGTCTGCTCAGACTTCTACATGGAATAAGTATTCCAGAGGGTGGAGCTCTTACTTTCCCACTGGCTGATGCCACAGGAAAGGGAGTGCCCCACCCAAGAAAGATGGCATCTGCAGTATGAGAGAATGACTCAGTGCAGGGATCCATTTGACTGTCCCTTCCACTTTCACCCCAGACAACTGTAGTCTGCTTTTCCCTCCCTCTGCCAAAGTAAGTGGCTATGAATGAAAATTTGTTTATTGGCCTTTCAAAAAGGCACCTGTTTCTCTAGCAAACTTCTGTCTCTCCCACTGATTTTCACAACCAGATTATTTTGTGGTTGCTTTCTCCTGGATCTGGGCTGGGATGCCCAGCTGGGGATTGAGACTCCATGCTTCTCAGGGGAAATTAACTGCAGGTGAGATACCCTACCAGATTAACAGATGCCACCCCTGAGATTGAGGCCAGCCTTTTTCATATCTCTACCATTTCTATCAGTCTCAATGTGGCTTCTTCTATAAATCTTTAGTTATAACACTGCTCTTGAGGTAGTCTTCAGTTTGTTATTCAGGGTGATTGTTCTATAATTTGGTTGTCATTCTATTTTGGTCCTGGGAAGAGGTGAATATATTTTCCACTTACTGTGCTGCCATCTTGGATTCCTAGATAAAAATGTAGTTGCAATTTTATACACCAACAATGAATTATCAACAAGGGAAACTAAAAAAAAATCCATTTACAATCACATAAAACATACTTGGGAATAAATTTAACAAAGGAAGTAAAAAACCTGTACTCAGAAAATTATGACACTGAAGAAAGAAAGTGGAGATACAAATAAATGGAAGTATATACCATGCCTATGAATAATTAACATCATTAAAATCTCCATAATTAAAACTACCAAAGCAATATATATATTCAATATAATTCCTATGAAAATACTAATGGTGTAGAGATTGAAGATGGCCGCTGATGGGAAGGGAGGCTGCAAGATAGTGTGTGAGTAAGAGAATGAAAGGATAGTGTGTGGACATATAGGGAGTGTCTATTTGTGAGTGAGGGACAGCTATATTCCAAGGGACTGTTGAGGACTGCCGGACCGGACAGCTTCAACTGCTGCTGAAATTTCTCCTGGACTGACCATATATGCCCCAGAGACCATGCCATCTTGAAGGGGAGAGTGGCTGTGATCAGAAGCCTAGACTTACCTTCAGTCAGGAAGAATCAGATACCTTAAGGAACCCTACAACCTCAACGCCCAGGGACCAGCTGGGAACCCATAAACACTGGGTCTCAATCAGCACAAATATGTGGACTCAGACAAGCTCTGTATCTTCTTACAGAAAGGTCAGATTTCACCCATAGAAAGGTGAGGTCTGCTATCCAGGCTGAAGGGAGAAACATGCACAGTGGGACCTAAAGGTTCAGAGGAAGTCTGTGCCCCCACAAAATCCATGAACATTGGGGCCAGTGTAGTCCACGAATGTGGAAGGGGGTCCACAGGGCTGCTGATAGAAAGGGAACTCTAAAAATCAACCCATGGCTGGGCTGGGCACAAAAAGGCAGCCTGAAGCTTTACCAGTAAACTGGCTGCACTGTGCAAGGGGAAAAAGACATGCACAGAAACAAGAGCCTAGTCGCACACAATGCCAGGGCAAAAAAGTCGTGAGTTCGCACACTTACTCTGGCTCTTTTTTTCTCTTTAAATCCTTGCTTTTTATTACTAAGCCCAGTACTTTACTAAGCCCAGTACATAGGAGCACCCAATTAAAAACATTCTCAGAGACTGCAGAGGAAAGTTGTTTTTGTGGAACCTAGGGATCAGAGCTGGGAGAAACAATCAGAAAACCAGCTCTGGGGGAGTCCATACTCACAAACCAGTAGTAACTACAGCAGTGAAAACAAGCTCTAAATACTGGATAGATAGGACTTACAGCCCCAGATGTCAATACAGAAACATTGCCACCCAGGGGTTGAATCACAAACTAACTTATGTAAATACAACCACAGGCAGGCTGAGTAACAAAGAAATACTATCTGCTTGAAAACAAGATTGTGGCTTACAACACAGAGGAGCTGTGGAACATAGGGAACTTCAATACTGATAGGAAACAGGAGTGCCAAACAGAACAGTACATTTTTATTTTTTATCTAGTAGTAACTTTTTTCTCACTTGATTTTACCTTTTTAATTGTTATATTTTTATTTTTAATCAGTGTTATTGCTACTACTATTTTACCTTTTTTAAAAAAGTTTCATTTTATGTTCTCTTTATTTTATTTTATTTTGGGATTAGTGTTCTACATTTTATTTTCATTTTTCCTTTAGCATCATTTTACTCTATCTCAACTTTACCTTTATGCCAACACTCTCTTCCTCACATTCCCCCTTTTGTTGTCCTGTTTCTCTTACCCTATTCCTGCTTTAAATTTCCCTATTCATTCTTTTAACCCCCTGTTAAAAATTCATCTTACTTATATTTCTAATTTCTACTCCCCTGCTCCAAGTCCATGTACACTTCTCTCTTCCCTTTCTTCACTATCCAAATTTTGTCCTCTCTTCCCTTTTTTTTATTTGTCTTCTGTTTTGTTTTGTTTTGTTTTGTTTTGTTTTGCCTTTCTTTCTCTCTGTCCTATTGTAGGGGGCGTGCAGGAGGCAGCTGATCAATGTTTCTCTCTAATCGATGTTTCTAGCTCTCTATCTCTCTCCCTTCCTCTCTGTAAAAGATCAATAAAGTATATATTTTTTTAAAAAAGAATAAGTTTAAAAACAAAAACAAATAATCTAATTAAAAACAGGCAAAGTACCTGAATAGACCCTTCTCCAAAGTGAACATACAGATGACCTACAGTCATATGAAAAGATGCTCAATATCACTAATCTTCAGAGAAATGCAAGTTAAAACCACAATGAGATGTCATTTTACACCTGGAAGAATGCATATTATCAATAAATCAAACAAGCAACTAGTGTTGGCCAGGATGTGGAGAAAAGGGAACCCTCAAAGGGATTACAGATTGATGCAGACACTGTGGAAAACAGTATGGAGAGTACTCAAATTAATTAAAAATGGAACTTCCTTATGATCCAGGCATTCCACTTATGGGTATATATCTGAAGAAACCCAAATCACAATTTGAAAAAATATATATATACCCCTATGTTCATTGCAGCATTATTTACCATAGTTGAGATATGGAAGCAACCCAATTGCCCATCAATAGATGTGAAAATAAAAAAAAAGTGCTGATTCATATATACAATGCTATAGTCATAATAAAGAATAAAATATTATAATTTGTCACAGCATAGATGGACCTAGGGGTATTGTGCTAAGTAAAATACATCAGTCAATCAGAGAAAAACAAATACCATATGATTTTATTTATAAGTAGAATTTAAAAAACAAACAATTCAAACAAGACTCATAGATACAGAGAACTGACTGATAATTGCCAATGGGTAGGGGATGGATTGTGAGACGGAGTGAAAAAGGTAAGGAGATTAAGAAATACACATTGTTAGTTAAAAACAGTCATTGGTTTGTAAAGTATAGCATAGGAAATATAGTCAACAGTATTGTAATAACTATGAGTGATGCCAGGTTGGTACTAGAAATATCAGGGAGAATATTTTGTGAAGTGTATTATTGTCAGATCACAGTACTGCACACCTGAAACTAATACAAAATAATAAAAAATAA